GCGGCGTCCCTATCAATTGCCAAATAATTTATTAACATCTCCACTAAACTAAGGACTACCGATTCTTAGACAAAAAAGTTATCTTACTATATAGTACACTACCATGTCGTCGGAAAATACGGGATTCCCAAGCTTACAACCGGCTTTCACTATTAAGGTAGGTGGGATTCCGAATAGCCCCCGAAAGAAGTTTAACAAGCATCTTCTAATCACAAGCTTAACTAGGTGCATGTCGGTGAAGTCAATCCAATCGGTATGGTTACACCTCAGCACTAACCTTGCATTACCTGACATCTGACATCTGCCTTCAGGTGATATTTCCACTGGCTGGCAATTTATCCACTTTCTAAGTCGCAAGAAAGGCAGTCCCGTAGCATCCATTTGCTGACTGTGCAAAACAGCACACACCCATTGGTACTATAAAGAGTCTCCCTGGGTTCAAGCCCAAAGTTGACGCCGAGATTATGTTTGGTGGTGACTGGCTGTATTTCGACACCGACAAGTCTCGCACACGCATTAACTTCAAGGTAATTACAAAGTATATAGATACCTATAGCATTCCTTTCTTCACAATCCGCATTTTGCCAGATACCTTGCTAATCATGGACAGGACCAAGTCCGGCGCACCCTTCTCATTCTACTACGCCGGAATCGTCACCATCGACGAAGCCATCGGGAAGACTTTCGCTTACAGCCCCGATTCCAATACCATTCCATTTGGAAATTCGAGTGGGTGCAATATTCATCGCCTTCTATAAGATGGTTACCCTAGAACTACCCTTGCTAACGTTATGTGCCAAGCTACTCTCCAAACGCTCAAGGCGGGTAGCCCTGAGCTGAAGGATCTGGAATTATCACTTGGCAGGGAACGGCAGGTTCATTCTTGGAGGAGAGCATAGCCTCACTGTTGAGAGTCGCATTTCAAAGGTGGTGCCCAGCACCCCCATGGACTAAGGCGTACATCTCTGGATAGACGACAGAACTCTGATGGGACCAGCGCAAAAGCACGCTCGGGTATAACTTCCTTATTATAGTTATTTACAAGGAGAAATATAGGGCTCCTTAATAAACCTCTGGCTTAAAGTATTTATATAATATTCTTGAAGATAAAAAATTTATTAGACTATCAGTCACTCACAGGAATAAATATTATTTCAGCTGCTCTAGCGGAATATATATATGTGCAATTGAGCAACGCATAAGTAATAATCCTGTTGAACCAGTGGCATTATGGCGAGAGGCTATAGTGAAGAAGTCGGTTAGCCAGTAAGTTATTGATCAAATTTGACGGGTTCTTTTCTCACTCCGGAGCCGTTCTCACGGTTAATCCAGTCGACTTGTTTCCCGAATTTGATCAACATAAAGGCGGTGTCGTACGCAGACTTGGCGGCTCCAAGAACTGTCACTCGCTGTATGTTTGGTCCGATGAGAGACGAGATGTACTTTCCCAGCTCCGAGGAATGCAAAATTGGCTTATGAAACGCTTTCTGCGGAAATTCGGGCACATACGGACCGCTCGTGACACCCGTTGCCACAATTAGCTTTGCCCCTGACGCTTGAGAGGCTCCGTCATTGAGCGTCAGAACCCATTTCCCGCCAATCTTGTTTGCTTTCGCAACTTTCTGTGGCAGACGGATACGCCTGACGAGGTCATGGTCCTCGGCAAAAGACTGGAGATAGTTGTGGATCGTCTGAGACGAAATGTACCAGTCCGGGCTCAGGCCCGTCTTCTTCATAGGTTAGAAGCTGTACTCAAACAGACCGTGGCCGACCTGCGCAAAAAGGTCTGGGTAGATGCGCTCGGTGCTCCAGACCCCGCCGATCGACCGTCATCGAGAATGAGGAGGTTCGTCTCGGGTGCCAATTTGGGATACGTGTAGGCTGCAATGAGCCTATAAATGCCTGTAAAAAGGTTAGCCAAGGAAGAGGACTAGAGGACAATATTGAAGCGAGTGACCCTTATACCTCCGCTAACAACCAGCACATCATAGCCCTCCCCATTTCCGTTCTTCATCTTTGCCGGCTCGAGAATGAATGACTACTTTGGGTGTTGGGTAATCCGAATCGAACATGCCACGGCGTAAAGAGTTTGACTGTCCAGAGAATCGGTGACCTTGACGGATCCATTACAAGACCAGATTTCCCACGATTGACATCTGCATTCTCGTCACATCACCATGGGCTCGGCCCGGCGGGTCGGCCCGGTTTATTGTGCCGGTCGACGCCTCGGGCCGACATCCCGGGTGGGTTTCGGCCAAAGTTGTGGGCATCGCATAACTCCATGCTCGGCCATAAGTCGGCGGTTTTCGAGATGGACGGCCGCTCCTATCGACATATACGCATTTCCCGCCCATCGACTTTGTGGTTTCCGTTCTTGTTGCCTTTTTCGACGACCAGATCAACGGGACTGATGATGGGGCGTGGTTTCTCGTGTTGTCCTTGGTTGTAACACTCCAGGCGGCAGGTTTGGGGGTCTTGGTAGAAGCAAGGCGGGTGGGCCAGACAAAACGCCCTTTGGAACTGTATATAGACACGAACCTGCCGCAGCGTTGTATCATCAATCTTCGGTCAAGCTAATGCTTTATCTAGATTATTCACATGGCTGCTGTTATGGAATTTGTTTGGTACAGCGGCTGTCCTACCAATCTATGGTTATTTGCATATAAAATACGCCGAGTTTGAAAAGTCGAACCAAGAATCTCGACGGCTCTATCAAGAAACCTGGTTATTGTCTCGCTCTTGGGAATTTCTATCCCTGGCATATTTCTCCTTTCTGCCTACAGTTTTGCCAGCGGCTTCATTCGACATAGAAGCTGTCAGAGACCAGAAGCGGGTCCCAGATATACAGGCTAGGCACTAACTACTAGAAGGTTTTATAGGAATTAGCTTTAAGCCTTAGCTAGGTTTTAAAAGTAAAATTATTATTAGTTATAAAAAAAGGGTTTTTAAGCTTATAAAAACTTAAAGGTTTAAAAATAAATAAAGTTATTATTTTATACCTAATTAATTATTAAATTATTATAAAGCTAAAAATAATATTTTTTTAAGTATTTTATTATTATAAAAAACCTTTTTAATAAATTTTTTTTTAAGGTAATAAATTACCTAATAAAATACTAATAATACTTTATAATACTTAATTTACTTAATTAAATATTATTTTAAAATAAAACC